TATTTTAGCAGACGGTAGGAATGACGTTGCGCAATCTGATCCGCAGTGTGGACGACATCCTCCCGACTTTACATGAGTCCATCAGAACGGAGGTAAAGGATTTCGAAAATGTAGCCATAGTGACTTCCCGGCTAACAGAGAACATTCTCAGAACGTTCTGGATTGGTACAAGCAAACATTCATCCTGAGATGTTAATGGAGCATTTGGTAAAAGTTATCTGGTCTTTATATATTGTTCTGAAAATGTTATCACAGAAACATAATTTCAAGTTTTAATCTCATAATATGACGGAATGTCATAATTTTGACATTTGATCCCATAATTATGACATTTAATCTCCGAATTATGACTTGATGATAACCATATCATAATTTCGACTTTAAAACCATTGTTCATGGAACGTTTTTTTTTTCCTTCGGAAATGTTTTAGTTTTGGAACATCTAAAAAAAGTAACATTCTTATACTTTTTACAAAATTATCAAATTAAAGGCGCTGTACTGTATGTAAGAATTTTCATGTATTAATCGCTTTTTGTATTGCCATTGTGTGAACGGCATGTAACAAAACCTTTTCCAACTTTATCTTTTCTTTATCTATGTAAGCCTGTAGACTGATTTTTTATGCGAAGGACTCTGGATGTTTGTTTTTTTTTTTCCGAAAGAGCCTCTCTTTTGTTCAATGACACATGAAATGAATGCTTATACAATGTTCAAGATAATGCCGAAAGAGCCACTCTGTAAATGTTATGTGTGCATAAATGCCAGCACGAGCAAGAAGTTGCTGGCTGCAGTTCACTTAACAGCCACCGGTGTCGCTAATAACAAGGGTTTCTGAATTGTACGTATAGCGCCTTTAACTTTACATTTTTTAAATTGTTAACGTTCAGAGAACATCCAGAAACATATAGTTTTCTTAACTTAATGTGAACATTAGCAAAACGTTCATTCAGCGTATTTTTGTTAGCTGGGTTAGTGAGCTATTTTGAACGAAACCTCATAGATGATTTTACCCAGAATGCACTTAAATGCAGTATAAAGTATTGTCCTGGTTCCTCTCTGTTCCTCAGATTGAGGGAACTCAGAAGCTGCTGAATAAAGACCTGGCCGAGCTGATAAGTAAGATGCGTCTGGCTCAGCAGAACGCCGTCACGTCTCTGAAGGACGAGTGTAAGAAACAGATGCTGACGGCCGCTCACACACTGGCCATGGACTCCAAGAACCTCCTGGATGCTGTGGACCAGGCCAGAGTACGAGCCAATATAGCCAAATCCTCCACAACCTAGATCGGATCCCTGATTGGGTGTCAAACAGGGGGTTTTATCCAATGAGAAAGCTAGAGGATGAATTTAATTGTAAATGACCTGGCACAACTCGCTTTATTTATGCTCCCGGAAGGTAACGAAAGCAGTGCTTTCGATGTTGAATGTTTTTTTAAGATATATTTTCACAAATGTATGATTGTAATCCTTTTTAAAGAGTCAAAGATGTTTAATTTCTGCAGAGTTTGTGGAAGGAAATAAATACAGATTTTTTGCCATTTCAAACCATTAACTTTTTTAATTCTCTCAACTTTACAAGTTCGTTTATGAATAGCATTATAAAGTACAACTGATTTAGAATCACAAAAGGACTTTTAATTGTTCTGAGTTTTCAGTGACTCCATAAATTCAGACTTAAATAAAAGCCGCAGTCTGTAGTGTTAAAAATTATCAAAAATACATATTTGAAAAAGTACATAACCAGCCAGTGTTCAAAACTATCTGCTTTTGCCTTATGCTCGAATCTCCTGCGGAAATCACTGTAAAACCACTGGAATTAAAAACATCATTACAAGCTTACCTCTTTGAATCGAGCTGTCTACAGTATGCGTCATTACGTCACATCTGTACACATAAAGAAGAGTCTCAGCTAGTAGGCTATATTGCGTGTGTGGATGTTGGAGGTGGAGATTTTTAGCCTTTTCTCACAGCACTTGATATAGTTAAACTTGTCAATTTGATGGCGGATTGTAAAATGCAAAAGACTTCGTTCGGACTTCGGTGTGGAGTCACGCAATGCTGAAGTTGTTAACATTAGCAATTTGAGAACAAAGTATAATTTGCACGGTTTTGCGCGATGATAAGTGATTGTTAGATTTAATCAGCGTTATTTACTGCAATGTCAGAACTAGAACAAAAGTGGACGTGACTTAGGGTTAGTTCACCCAAAAATGAAAATTAAGTCATTAATTACTCACCCCCATGCTGTTCCAACCCCGTAAGACCTTCGTTCATCTTCGGAACACAAATAAAGATATTTTTGATTGAATCTGAGAGCTGGATCAGTCCTACATAGACTGCCTAAGGGACTGGCTCTTGACGGCCCATAAAGTCATTAAAGAAAAGGTTTAAATGTTCCATGTGCCTACAGCGACTCAATTATAAGTTTATCAAGCGACGAGACTACTTTTTGTGCGAAAAAAACATAAATAACGACTTAAATTCGACTATTCCATTACTTCCTTATGGGCGCATGCGCGAGAAATGAGACGAGGACGTTCTCCTTCGTCTACTTCTTGTTACCGGCTGCTCACCGCTTAGGAGTTTTACTGCCACCTACCGTATAAAATGAATGATGATCCATATATAAGGCGCTCTGGATTATAAGGAACACTGTCGTTTTTTGAGAAGATTAAAGGCTTTTAAGTGCACCTTATAGTGCGGAAAATACGCAAATTGAAAAAAGCGTATGTACAGCGCACATCTTCCTCTGCTTGTAAACAGAAAGTTTTGCGCTTCCAGCTATATCAGCACATCATCTTATACGGTAGGTGGCGGTAAAACTCCTAAGCGGTGAGCAGCCAGTAACAAGAAGTAGTCGAAGGAGATCGTCCTCGTCTCAGTTCTCGCGCATGTGCCCATAAGGAAGTAATGGAATAGTGGAATAAAGTCGTTATTTATGTTTTTTTCGCACAAAAAGTAGCCTCGTCGCTTGATAAACTTATAATTGAGCCGCTGTAGGCACATGGAATATTTAAACCTTTTCTTTAATGACTTTATGGGCCGTCAAGAGCCAGTCCCTTAGGCAGTCTATCTAGGACTGATCTAGCTCTCAGATTCAATCAAAAATATCTTTATTTGTGTTCCGAAGATGAACGAAGGTCTTACGGGGTTGGAACAGCATGGGGATGAGTAATTAATGACTTAATTTTCATTTTTGGGTAAACTAACCCTTTAAGCCTAGTTCACACTACATGATTTTAAGACGCTCGCAGACGGCATGTCGAGCCCAGAAAAATATCTAGCATGCTAGATATCCAGAGCTGCCGTGCGACTCAACCTCAGTGATGTCATGAGCTACAGCCAATCAGAGCAAGGCATGGGTTGAGGTCACCGAAAATCGTATTTTTTCTTTTTTTGCAATTTTACTCAGAGCAAATCATCACGCAAACAGTTAGCAGTTTCTGTCTGACGTCTATTTTCGCGTGTTGTGTTCTTCATCACGTGCTGTTTCGCTTCATTTCCGGTTCGTTTTATCACATGATTTTTTGTGACAAAACATGGTTTGTAGACAAGATGGAATAGTTGGGGGACAGAGTTGTTGTCCACTCATGTAGTGCGTTACCTCCTGTTGCGGATCAATCACGTTGTGTTGTGTGTTATGAACAGCTCAACAACTTGAACACTCCTGATTTCACAGAGAGCAAGTCATGTAGTGTGAACCGCAAAGACTTTTTAAAATCATGTCGTGTGAACTAGGCTTTACTTGTTCAGATGCCATTTTCTGGTGAAAATTCTTATGTTGGTCATACTTCCAAAAAGTAGAATCTGTGATTCTGAATGACAGTATCCACACCGGCACAGTGACTGACAGCCGCACACTCTCCTCAAACATTGTGTTCATCCGCAGTGCCGTGCCGAGGCACAACCCATGTAAAGTTGATAATTCCGAATAACTGCAATTGCAGATTTTGAACAGAGATGGCGACAAAGAGGTAAAAACTGCAGACTGCAACTTTAAATAAAAAATCTAATTTGTAATATATTTCACATTTTTGAGAGTTCACTTTTTAATCAATTTGGATTACTAGAAAAAAATGTGTTAGTTCCATTAGTTAAGATCAATTAAATATTTTTATAAATGTTTTTATTGTTTTTGCCTTTGATCAAATGATCTATTATCATTTAATTTCTAGGTTTTTCATGACAGTGGGAATCCTGGTGTGTTTTACACAATCATCAGCAGAGGGCGACAGCGCTCAGGTCATTAGTCTGTTAGGGACTTTTTTCACAGCTGTAAAATAGAGCTATTAAGGGATATGACTGTCAGATAGTCTCACTTACATTAATTATGAATTCAACCAAAGGAGACGTTTTCATGTCACGATTCATTCTTGATTTCAGCTGATAAAGACAGATCCTAGTTATTAGTTTGGCTTTAATTGCTCTTCCTGTTTCCAAAACAGTGTTTTAGTTCAGTGGAAGAGCAGAATTTCTAATAGCAAATGTCAGTTTTCTCCCAGGTCCCATTTGACCCACATGGTCCACAGACCCGTCTTGGATAATTACACGACCTTCACAATATCAAAAGCATTCTTTTGACTCATATATAAAAAAAAAGTTATAAATAAATAGTTGCCTTTTGACCTTGGAGATAATTGCTGTTGAAAGCGGCACGAAATGTAATCTATGATTCATTGAACAGTTGAATAAAGGGTAAAGAGTGAACTGAATTGAACTGCCACCCATCAGGGTCACATAAGCGTTTGCCTCTTTCCCAAAGGTTAATTTAGCATATTGCGGTCGGTGACGGCCCCGCTCTTTATGCATGGAAACGACAGGACTCGGGTGCAGTTTGATAGTGCTAAATGTCAAGGCATTCAGTTGTGTTTCCTGCGTTGTAAAAATGAATTGCGTCCTCAAATATTCCCTGAACAGGCGGATATCTTTCATCAAAGGAAGAGAGAAAAAAACGACCTTTTATTTATATATATATATATATATATATATATATATGCATTTCAATGTTTGCCATCTTTTTAATGGTCCCTGTAAAGGATCTTGGCTTCAAGTGTTTATCAAAGCTCTTGATGTTGGTGGTGTGTATCACGGCTCTTAGATCATTCCTGATATCCAGGGAGGTAAGAAGAGGCCGACCGTCCCCAGCAGGCACACGATGATGAACATCCACAGAAAGATGCGATCAATCACCATTCCCACGTATTTCCAGTCCTCCTTGACCTGTCAAAAAGCAAACACAGCACGGTTCAAAAGTGCTCAGAGCGGGAAAAACTGTGGACAATGTAATGAGGTCAGTGGCCATGAAGCAGAAGAATATCCGTTTAGCTGGAGGAGAAACACAGCAATATTCACACAAAGGGGTTTGCACTTTTTCAATCAGTCTTTTTTTACTTTAGACTTTTTTATGAGGTCACTGCTTTTATTTATCAAAAACAAAAAATGTAAATGCTACGATTTTTATAAATTAAGATTATATATCTCACTATTACAACTTTTTCTTTATTTATTTTATGTATAAAATAAAGCAACTTTATATCTGACTTCATTTCTTATTTTAAACTTAATCTCTTATTTTTTTAATTTTATAATTTTAACTTTTTATCTCATAATGTCACTTAGGACATCATTATTTTTACTTTTTATCTCATATTTATCACTTTTTATCTCATTATGACTTTTTGTGTCACAAATTTAACCTTTTTTTATCTCAAAATTATATTTAGGGTTTCATAATTATGACTTAGTATCTCATAATTGTATCTTTTTATCAGTTGTCATAATTACAACTTTTTATCTCATATGACTTCGGCATTTTATCATTAATTATCTTCAAAATGATAACTTGGTGTATCATATCCTTCTCATTTTGATGTAAAATTAAAATTGTCTCATTTTGACTTAATTTTTTGTCGTAATTTTCACTTTTTATCATAGTTATAACATTTAATCTTTTTAGCATGTCGTAATTTTCACTTTATATCACAATATGATTGTGACATAAGATTAAATGTGATAATTATGAGATAAAATGTCACAATTATGACATCCCATCATATTATGAGATAAAAGGTTGAAATTATGACGCCATAGTTATGACATAAAGTGAAAATTATTATAAGTAAAATGTTAATTGTCTCATAATTAGATACGACATGAGTCAAAATGAGAAAGTTATGATGCACCAAGTCATCATTTTAAGATTAAATGTCATAATTATGAGATAATTTATAATTAATCTCATAATTAATCCTTTATCTCATAAGTTTTACTTGTCAATTTCCAATTTTTTCTCATAATTCTTTCATTCTTTTCTCATAATTACAACTTTCAATTATGATTCACCAGCGCATGATTTATTTAATGTGTCGGAAAGGAGCTTCCCTAATCCCTCAAGTCTGCATGACTGAAGACTCACTGAAAAGTCTTCATTCTCAGCGTGCAGGTGCTCAGCGATGTAGCGCACCCCATCCAGGGCCTTCAGGACACACGGTGAGAAGCTGAGACCGGGGTCTGACACGAGGTTCGTGAGCTTTGCTGGACACTGGCACAGGTTCATCACGTGTCCCAACTTCTGGAGTAAAGGCTCCGAGTCGGACAGATGCAGAGACGTGGCGGATGGGGACGAGATGGACGTGGATATCCCCATCCCCACCCCGAACTCCATGTCCCGACAGTCCTGCCCGTCCACGTCGGTCTCCTGCTGAAGGCAGCTCTTAGACGTGCAGAGGTTGGCCGTGCCGCGGAGCTTCAGCTCGGGTTCTGGGCGTCTCATGAAGAGCCAGCGGGGAATGAGGTCCAGGAACACCGAATGAACCCAACTGGGCATTTTATGGGTGCTGGGCGATCGATGGTGCACATTGAGCACAAAAACGGTAATGACTATGGAGAGGGTGACAAATATCATGGTGAAGAGCAGGTACTCTCCGATGAGTGGAATGACCAGAGACGTCGAGGGAATGATTTCAGTGATGAGCAATAGGAAAACGGTGAGGGAAAGAAGGACTGAAATGCACAATGTGATCTTCTCTCCACAGTCCGATGGCAGGTAAAACACCAGAACGGTCAAACAAGAGATAAGCAAGCAGGGAATGATGAGGTTGATGGTGTAGAAGAGAGGCAGGCGGCGGATGATGAAGTAGTAGGTGATGTCCGGGTAGATCTCGTGACAACAGTCGTACTTCTTGGTGTTGTAGGTTCCCACGGCGTTGATGATCGCCCATTCGCCACTCTCCCAGTAGTCCTTCAAGTCCACGGTGTTCTCGATCTGCTCCAGGTCGATCTTGGCCTTGTCGTATGTCCAGGAGCCGAACTTCATCTTGCAGTTTTGTTGGTCGAACGGGAAGAAGGTGACGTCAATGCTGCAGGAGCTCTTGTAGATGGCGGGAGGAACCCACCTCACCTTCCCCGTGTGGAACAGGTGGGCTTTGGTCATGTGGGTCACTGCGAACTCGCCATCCGCACTGTAGACAAAAGCACACCAGTTTATACTATTGTTCAAGAGTTTGGAGTCGGTAAGATTTTTTTGGTTCATTAGTTAACATCAGTTAATGTATGAACTAACAATGAGCAAATTTGTTACTATATTAGTTAATCTGTGTTTATGTTAGGTAATAAAAATAGTGTTTAGTTCACAGTGCATTAGTAAATGTTGAAATTAATATTAACTAATACATTCTGTAGATGTATTGTTCATTCTTAGTCAAAATTACTGTAGTTAATTAACAGAAACTAATAAACCTTATTGTAAAGTGTTACCAATATTCAATTATTTTTCTTTCTTTTTTGCATTTATTTGATAAAATTTCAGTAAAACCAGTAATACTGTGAAAAATGATTTCAATGTGAAATAACCGTTTTCTATTTTTGGATATATTTTTAAATGTAATTTATTCCTGTGATCAAAGCTGAATTTCCAGCATCATTACTCCAGTTTTCAGTGTCACATGATCCTACAGAAATCATTCTAATATGATGATTTGATACTCAAGAAAAATGTATTATTATCAATGTTTAAAACATTTTTTAAGGATGAATCCTTGTTAAATAAGTACAAATCATTTATTTGAACAGCATTTATTTTAGATAGAAATATTTTGTAACATTATAAGTGTTTGCTGTCACTTTTGACCAATTTAATGCATCATTGTGGAGTAAATGAAACGAAAGATCGAAAATTGCATGTTGCATTCAAAGTTTAATTAAAAACTTAAATACTAAATGGGCCACAGAAAGTATGATATGAGCTTTCTTTTAAACATGGATGAATTATAGGAAGTGTCTTTGATGTATCTGGGGTAGAAACTTTCTTTATGCCTCTAGGAAGATGTTCCATGACAATTGTGATAATTACTTCAAATATCTACATCACTTTTTTTTTTTTTTTGCATTTGCTTCAGGTCTGATGATGCAAGAGGACCTCAATTTCTATTTGTCGAGATCAAATTTGCCTCCTAGATAAAGACAGACCTGGTGTTTCCAAAAATAGACAATAATCATTTGACATTTTATTAGGAGATTAAAACATGGACCTTTTTTTAATCAGCTACAGCAGTGCTTAACATCTTATTTCACGCCATGTCTGTTTGATTTCACAAATTAATGTTACAGAAACACAGGACTACAGATATTAATAGAGCGATTAAGACTTAGACCGCCCTCTTTCTTCCAGAGTTTTAACAGGACACTGTTAGTTTAACCATAGCCTTTAATGTCTGAATACCCAGGACCACCTTGACAAAAATCTTCCTGCAAATGTCATGTGTGTCACAACCTTTTTAGAAATATACATCAGCACTTACTTATTGTATAAGACGATGTCAGGCACCCAAATCATCTCCGACGGGACTCTAATAGACATCACATTATCAAACTCGGAGGGGTTCCAGCGCAGTTTATAATCGTTCCATTCCTGCAGGATCCAAAGCAACTTATATTGCATTCAAGACACACATTCGATCAGTTTTTGCTTTCCCTGGGGATCAAACCCATGATCTTGATCTTGGTGTTTCTGTGATTTTCTATTTGAGTTACAGGAAGGATTTGAGCTACTAAAAAGGATAATAGTTAACTAATGTTAATAAATGAAACCTAAGCATTACTATAATTACAACACTGTATACACTCACCTAAAGGATTATTAGGAACAGCTGTTCAATTTCTCATTAATGCAATTATCTAATCAACCAATCACATGGCAGTTGCTTCAATGCATTTAGGGGTGTGGTCCTGGTCAAGACAATCTCCTGAACTCCAAACTGAATGTCAGAATGGGAAAGAAAGGTGATTTAAGACATTTTGAGCGTGGCATGGTTGTTGGTGCCAGATGGGCCGGTCTGAGAAATATATTTCACAATCTGCTCAATTACTGGGATTTTCACACACAACCATTTCTAGGGTTTACAAAGAATGGTGTGAAAAGGGAAAAACATTCAGTATTCACAACACGCACAACCTTGAGGCGGATGGGCTACAGCAGCAGAAGACCCCACCGGGTACCACTCATCTCCACTACTAATAGGAAAAAGAGGCTACAATTTGCAAGAGCTCACCAAAATTGGACAGTTGAAGACTGGAAAAATGTTGCCTGGTCTGATGAGTCTCGATTTCTGTTGAGACATTCAGATGGTAGAGTCAGAATTTGGCGTAAACAGAATGAGAACATGGATCCATCATGCCTTGTTACCATTGTGCAGGCTGGTGGTGGTGGTGGTGTAATGGTGTCGGGATGTTTTCTTGGCACACTTTAGGCCCCTTAGTGCCAATTGGGTGTCGTTTAAATGCCACGGCCTACCTGAGCATTGTTTCTGACCATGTCCATCCCTTTATGGCCACCATGTCCCCATCCTCTGATGGCTACTTCCAGCAGGATAATGCACCATGTCACAAAGCTCGAATCATTTCAAATTGGTTTCTTGAACATGTCAATGAGTTCACTGTACTAAAATGGTCCCACAGTCACCAGATCTCAACCCAATAGAGCATCTTTGGGATGTGGTGGAACGGGAGCTTCATGCCCTGGATGTGCATCCCACAAATCTCCATCAACTGCAAGATGCTATCCTATCAATATGGGCCAACATTTCTAAAGAATGCTTTCAGCACCTTGTTGAATCAATGCCATGTAGAATTAAGGCAGTTTTAAAGGTGAAAGGGAGTCAAACACAGTATTAGTATACAGGTGGTGATGGCGCAGTGGATAAGACACATCCCTTTGGTGTGAGAGACTCAGGTTCGAATCCACTGTGAGACACCAATGTGTCCCTGAGCAAGACAGTTAACCTCTAGTTGCTCCAGAGGCGTGCAACCTCTGTCATTATAGCAGTTGTAAGTCGCTTTGGATAAAGGTGTCAGCTAAATTAATAAATGTAAATTTATGGTGTTCCTAATAATCCTTTAGGTGAGTGTATGTCCAAATTTTATATAGAATTTATTTTAAAGAAAGTGCATTTATTGATGTACATTCTGCAAAGTGAGGTCAAGACCTTCTTATTAGCATGTGTTTGATCACCATTAGGCAAAAATGGTAACTTAAAGCAATTCCGTCATCATTTACTCATCCTCGAGTGGTTCCAAACCTATATGACTTTCTTTCTTCTGCTGAACACACAAACACACACAAAAAAAAATATTTTGAAGAATTTTGGTAACCAAACAGTTGACTTCAATAGTAGGAAAACAAATACTATAGAAGTCAATGGGGTCCATTAACATTCTTCTAAATATCTTCTTTTGTGTTCAACAGAAGAAAGAAACACATACAGGTTTGAAACAGCTTGAGGATGAGTAATCATTTTCTGAATTTTCATTTTGAACACAATATCATTTATTGACCACTTCATTCAAATATAAAGACTGTCACCTGTTTCAGCCAAACGTTCGTTGTCATCATTTGATTCTTCTCATCCTGTTGAAAAACAGAGGATGAAGTTAGCATCAAAATTTGCTCTGGTAGATGAGTAAATCCCACAGACTTGCATTAAAGAATGGACTGGAAACCAGAGACCCTATAGCAACCACATTTCCATCAGGATATGTAAAGCTCTTCTTAACGTTATGAAATTTAATGACTTTTGTCAGATGGTCTTAGTGCATTGATGCTTTGAATTTGCCACTCACCAACATCAAGCATAGAAAACATGCAAAATATCAACTTACCACATCAATAAGCTGGGCAATTGAGAGGCCAAACTTGACGATGACAACATCACTGATGTTCCGCACGGGTCTGGACCACTTATTGTAACCGATGAAGAGTTTTTTAAAGAGTTTGTCTTCTGCATGTGCATGGATCCAACCATCTGATAGTGCTGCAATACATATTCAGACAAAGAGACAGATCTTGATCATGCACTTTATTTTATTAGTGATAACTGATTAATTCAGCTTTGTGTCTGGGAAGGATTTGGAAAGGTACTGTGGAGGATGAGCGACAGTGAATAGGTTGAAGTTATGGCTGGGTAAAAGAAAAGACAGGCCGAGCAAAGCCGCCTCCTCACTGTAATTACTATTTGTTCCTTAATCACTGCAGTCAGCTCTAATTAATCCAGCCGTCAGTGATTTGTGATGTGTGTGTTTTTCTTAGTACAGAGGGTGGAAACTTCTTATTAGAATCTAAATGGAAAGAAGAGTGAAGTCACACATGGAGAGGAAACAATGCAATGAAAACACATTGTATTGAATAGTAAATACCACAAGGTAAACAAGAAAGAAACAGATAATCCAATCAAAACGCCTCTTATAATAATAATAATTTTTGAATTTCTATTCCCACTGGATATGCTTAAGCACAAGTAGGTTTTTAGCTTGTTTAAAAAATATTTCCAATGGACTACATATGGAATTAAAGGGAGACACTACAAAAACTGTTTTTTTCATGCACCTGCATGTCAAATTTTGAGATTTTGTGCTTTTTGGCTTTTCTTAAAGTGTTTTTTTTTTTCCGGACTGGTTGAAAGAAAACGTCCAAAATACACTTTTAAGCATTTCTTTTAGAGCACTTTATCTTTATCTATTTGCGTCTGAAGCCAGATGAGCCAGATAATCTCCACTTCATCAGCTTTAGACACCAAACGTTCATTTATTTATTTTATGAAGGTTTTTACAGGCATTCAATACCTAAAAAAAAAATCCTTCTATTGACAGTATTTTGAATCTATAATGTCACAAAAAATTATTTTGAACCTGACTTCATCCAATGTTCAGATTTTAATTCTTGAAATGCGTGAAATTACTGCATATTTAATTAGATAACACCTCAATTGCACATTAAACATAACATTACAGAAAACTTGTAATACAATTTTTGTTTTGCAATGCTTAATGTAAAATTAATCATCTGGAGAAGTATGGTGATATTTATTTATTTATTTTTCATTACCCTTTTTACATGGGGTGTCTTGGCTTCATATGTATGTGTTGACTGTTGTACAATTTATTAATTTGCATTTCAAACCCCTCATATAGCCTACAGATTGCCAAAGACATGTTCCTGGATCAGCATTCCTGTCGGGAAATTTAATCCCAACCCTATCTACAACAAATGACCCTAAAATGAGAGTGAAATGACAGGTGAATAACCACATAACCCTGATAGTAAGCCTAAACTTGACATAAACTGTAAACTTGTCCCTCAAATCTGATTGGTTGATTGGAATGATGTTCCAGGATCAACAGATGTTGATCCAGGAACATGTTGCACTTGGTGAATTCAAGTTCAAATACTTACACTCAATACTTCATCTAAAACTTTCTGAAAACCTAGATACCTTTATTGTTATACACAAATTATTTTAAAAAGGCCACATGAACTAGCATAATTAGTTCGATTTCCATATTTCTATATATATAGGCCAATAATTTTAGCCAGTAAAAAAAGAACTGCACCTACCAGGCTTAACGTGTTCCACAATAAGAAAGATCAGCCACAAATTCTTCAGAACTATCTGTAAATGATTTTGCTCCATATCAACAGGCAGAAGTCCGCAAGAGATGTGTGAAATGACTGCTGGATGTGATGAATGATCGCGCTGTGTTTGCTCGTGCACTGACGGACTGTAAGCCAATGATGACGCTGTACGGCTCCCATGGGCGGGGTAAAGAAGGTGAAATAACTGCACGTGCAAAGTCCTCAATCACACTATCAAATAATGCAGTGATTAAACAAACTTGACACAATTCCTTTTAGGTTCAGCCAATTACGCGCAAAATATTCTCATATCCATAAGCTTTATGTGGCTTTACATCTGGCTTTATGTCTCATCAGCTTCCGTTTATTTTTGTTGTATTTTTCCTTCTTGATATTGCAAATTGTTACTTGTTATCGTGTTATTTTAATCTAGCTATAATATATTTCAATGGTGACACTTTATTTTATAGTGTCATTGTTATACATGTTACAATTATAAATAATGCATTCACATAAGCAACTAACCCTAAAACCAACCCCTTATCCTATACTTAGTACAAATTATTATTACTCTGTACTACTTAAATTTATTATTAGCCTACACTGTAATACTGTCACCTTAAAATTAAAATTTAACATGAAATAATAATGTTTGTCGGTAATTAGGCTACCATAGGTTAAATTGGGGCGCAGCGCACCGGAGCGCAGCTCCGCCTCCTCGGGTTCACAACACACCCTGCCGGAGCTCAGCTCCGTGACCCCCGTCTTCTTCAGCACCAAATATATAAATTTAGTTGAGTGTATATAATGAAAGTTTTGAAATATTTGGCTAATATTAACTCGAATTTGGTGCTGCAATGATTTGCCCATCGCAACGATAACTGATCTCCTCGTCTGAGCTGGTTCTGCACTCACCCGTCAATTTCAAAATGTTTGAGTCCAATCAAAGCCAACGCGAATCCCAACGCGACGTTTCACGCTTCAGTTAACGAGATATATCCAGCTGCAGACCCGCAGCACCACCAGTTTCAGAACCCCAGTTTCAGAACCCCAGCGCCAGAACCGGAAGTGAGGGAGGGGCGGAATTATTATTATTGCATTATAATTATTTTAGCAAGAATGTAAGGACAAAATGGGCCTGAGAGTAAGTTCCTCATACATTGTAAGTTAAATTTATACAAGATTGTTGTGATAAAACAGGCCTAGCTTGGGTTGAATTGGTCATTTTGTATAGATTTTTAACAAAACAATGCCGAATTTTCTCTCGTTTTTAGATTTTGACATTATTATTTTACACGAAAAATGCATGCTGCACATGTTCTTGTGAAATAAAGTATATTTTATAAAAAATAAATATGCGTTTTTTATTATTAAACAATCAAAATCATCTAACAAATACATATCTTCAATATCAAAACAATTTAAGATTTTTGTAAACACAATAAATAAATAAATAAATAAATAAATAAATAGAACATAAAATATCACAGAGGTCTAATGAGTTATCAAATTGTGTATAATTTTGAAAACCTCAAATGCTTGTCTTGTTTTATATCTTTCAAAGCTTTATTATACAAAGTTAACTCCTTCATAAAAAACAAAAAAACAAAGGTCTTACCTTCCTACATCTACACAAATGTATAAACTGCTTAGCTAAAATTATTAAACTGTTATACATTAAAATGCCCATAAGTTTCAAGTATTATTTTTTCACCATCATGATCAGGAAGTAACTTATAATACAATGAATTGAAATGAATAACTGAAACTATAAACAATTATATTACACAAAACCAATGTTTTAAAATGCTTATTGTACTGTAATGTAGTATCATAACATACATATGTAGAGAGTAGGACGTTTCTTGTTCAATAAAAGCTGTTTCATGTGTAAAATACCCTCCAAATTACGTTAGAGCTCCGCCCCTCACTTACGTTCCTCGCGCTGGTGTTGGTTAGAACGTAACCCCGCCCCTTACTTCCGGTTCTGGCGCTGGGGTTCTGGCGTTGGGGTTCTGAAACTGGTGTGCTGCGGGTCTGCAGCTGGATACTATTGCAGTTAACAGGCATAGGCTACAGATAAGATGCTTGTAACATTAGCTAATAAACTGCTGTTTGTCGATAGAAGTTTTAAATTATCGACTTATGGCAGCGCGGGGCACAACCTAAATGTAACACAGACCTTTTACGGTCATGCAGGTTGTGTTTATGATATTTTTCTCTCGCTGCCAGAAGACGGTCTCACGCGATCAATTTGCGGAAAGTTTTGATAATATTTCGTGAAGATAGAGTGTTTTGACACCATGTAGTAGCCTACATTTTTTTCATTATAGTTTTTTTTCTGTTTCTGAGTTGGGTACGTTTCCAAATCTAACTTTATATTGCCTTAATCACTGTCTTGTTTGCTCAAACACAGCACCGTTTTGAAACATGTCAGCAATTCCTAGCAACTGTTAACTATAGGCTTAAAATATGTAATACACAGCGGGGTTAGTTGTAACACTGTTACAAACAAGCCGCCAAGTGTACAATGATAATCAAATGAAAACAGGAGCCACACAACTTTTCAGGTCTGAATATTTAGGCTATTTATACATTTAACTGTGTTGGACTTTCACAAACAATGTTGGAATTTAAAATGTTTAAAATTGAGTTTACTATGCATTGATCACTTGTTTATTTATTAAAAATATGGCCTGTTTTTAATGCAATAAACCCTTAAAATTATTATTTTAAGCTCATTTGTATTATTATTACTGTTGTTGTTGTTATAATAATAATAATTGTACATGCAGCTGCCACACACAGATCTAATTCAATTGCAATTACAATATTTTATGATTTTATTTATTATTATTTATTGCAGAACTAAGCAGCTCTTTTCTAAGGATGATTGGATGAGGGATGGATTTATGGATATTTACCTATACAGATGCACAAACAATATCAAACAATACAAATAAAATAGTACTGTTAATTATGTTTGTTACACACAAATGTTACAACTAACCCCTCTGTCTCTTACAATTAACCCCGCATATGGGGTAAGTTGTAACATTTGCACTTCTTTCACTTTCAGTCCAACTGTACGAAAATGGTAGGTCCTAGAAAAAAAAAAACTTTAAGTGGTCATTTGTAGCAGAGATGTGTTTGTTGCTTGTGTAAAAAAACCTAACCTAATTATTTTTTAATTAATTGAGCCAAAACCAAATGCATACACTTATTTTAGTAGGGGATTTAATAACACAAACACCTCATTAAATACATTGCCATTATTATTATTGTAATATAAAGTTACCCCAAATGTGTTTGACTTTTCACTGTTTGTATCACTCCGCTTGTTCGTGTTTGCGCAACGTGCATTATTAAGCCAGAAGGCGGCGACAAGTGACTGTCTTAATAAGTGAGCAATTGAACCATTAGCTAGTCCAAAAATATTGATTAATTTAGGAAAGAAAAAGTAGCTGAAACTGATCTTTGATGCTCACACTAATTGCCTCTGGGCACAGAATGATTGCATTGGCGTTTGTTTGAAATGTAAATAATCCTTGAATCATCTTATTGTTGCCTTGGCTTTTAGCTTGCTTAGTTGGGGACATGTAATATTCAACAATATTATTGATCTATGTTGTATTATTTTCACTGTGAAGCTGCTTTGATACAATATGTATTAAGCGCTATATAAATAAAGGTGACTTGACTATTTAAGGACATTCCTATTTCGAATATGTAATTGTGTATTGTCAACAAATGCATAAACATTCTGCATTCCATTTTATAGTGTGGATCACTCATTGAGACATTTAAACTGATTCTCATGTTAAAGAATCTGTTATCTGATCAAATAGGCCTTCATGCTACTGACCATATTTTTTTAACTTTGTATCTCTTAAACATATATCTGCTTGAGCGGTTTGTGAAGTTGCGAGATGCATCATCATCTCCTTTGTAAATAGTTCAATAGGTTAAAATGGACATTTCGAGATCAGGAAAACCAAAATTTTCTTGGGGGGCATACCCCCAAACCCCCCTAGCAAGATAATTTTTGACAACTTTTATTTAGAAAACCCCTGTACATGTCAGTGTGATCAAACAACAAACTGACAAAGAAATTAGCCCTGATTCTTTTAAATCAACATAACCAACCAATATTTTCAAACATGTTCACTTTCATACATTTTCCGCAGCTGAAATCCATTGCCTGATTTGTAAAGTATTTCTCTCTGTTGAAATAAATTGCACCAAGTGGAGAAAGAGCCTCTTTGGTGTAAAAAAACATTAATTAATTTTACGGAGCGATTTTGAATGATGACCATTCACCATAAATGTTTCTTGATGTGATAACCTTTCTGGAGCGTCCGTGACCTAATCTAATTAATTTTAATGATTCGCCCAATGATGATTGTCGTGTCTTTTGCGAACTACCGACTTTCAGCCAATCAGGTACGCCTATTTGGTGAACGTCAAGTTACGTGATTAATATTCAATCAGTAGTGCCTTCGCAATAGTAGTACTGACGTAGGCTATTTATCTTCTGCCCGGAGTCCCTTTATGAATAGCGGGCGCGGCGGTGCCAATCCTCACACATCAGTGACGTTAGTTGAAGAAGTTGTCACCTCCACTGAGTTTCTCCCAGAATCTGTACTAAATCAGGTAAATGTGGACTTTACTGAACCGACCTTTACTTTTCGTCCGCAGAGAGGACTTTGTCCTGCGAATTCTTCTACTTTTTGTCCTGGCAGAGACTAATAGAAAGTTCAAAGTTGTATAATGTTTTCTCCTCTGTGGTCCTTTTTTTTTTTTTTTTGCAGAGGCTTGTTAGTTTTGAATAAAAGGAAACAAAACTAGTTTCCAATGAAGAAGGCAGTGTTGTTTAGTTTGTGGGGTGGTGTTCTGACCCCTCATCTTGCCCAGACTTTTGAGAAGTTTGAGGAAACCACTGGCGTTTCAAGGTATGTGATATCTGTGTTATTTATTTCTTTAAATTATATAAATAAAACACTTTACGTTGTTATATATTTTAACAACTTTTAGCATTTTGATTTAAGAGTATATTTTACCAAAATATCTGGTTTAAACGTATGTTTT